TATCCTTTCTTTCTCCCAAACCAGAGATCCATCTATTAATGAAAAACAAAAGATAATTCAAGAAAACTAAGCTCTAAACAACACATCAAAATATTCTGACAAATAAAAAATTCCATACTCATAGTCCCTCACATCCACAAGGAAGTCAGAGAGGTCTCTTCTTAAATTTCCTCAATAAGTCTAAGTTGGGTCATTATAATTTTGTAACATTTAATTTTCTATCATTTTGTTTTTGTATTTCTTTACATTTATAATGTTTTGGTTGTGTTTATTTTCATCCTAGTTCTAACTTTACTTTGGAAGTGTTCATATAAATCTTTTCATGCTCTCATATTTTCAAAAAACAACTTATTTTTGCTTATTGAACACTAATATCTCATTATATTCATGCCCCATAATTCATTAAACCATTTCTCAATTGATATGAGCATATTTGATTTACAGTGCTTTACTACCACAAAAGGAATTGTTATAAATATATTAGGATATATATTATTTTTTTTATTCACCTTCTTTGAATATTCACCTAACAATGGGATTTCTGGTTCAAAAGGTATAGATATTTGTGACTTTTTAAACATAATTTCAAATTCTATAATTCTATACTGTCTAGCATGATGAGCTGAATAAATAGTTCCATTAAATATACATAAATGGGCCTGTCTTTCCACAATAAATCAATCAGAAAACATTTATTAATGGCCTACTATGTGCCAGGGATTGTTATAGTCTCTGGGGATTAAAATTTTTTAAATGAAATGATCGTTGCTCTATAAGAGTCTTCATTTTTTTCACAACATACAACATACACATGTATAGAATAAAGATTACAATGGGTTAACATACAGAATAAATGCATGATATATGGGTGTATGTTTATATGTATATGTATGCATGTAGTTTGTGTGTGTGTGTGTATGTGTGAAGAAATCACTGGAAGTTAGAGGGATCTAGAAAGGCAACATAGAGAAAGCAGAAGTTAAAGATTCTACCAGATGGATGTAAGAAGTGCTTGCATTCCAAATATAGAGTACAACAGGTTGAAAGGAAAGGAAAGGACGAAGAAGTGCAGTTAGGCTGCATCATTGAATACTGGGAAGAAATGTATAATGATGTTGGAAAGTGAGGGTGACAACAAGTAATTATTGGCACAGTGGATAGAATGTCAGCCCTGGAGTCAGGAAAACCTGAATTCAAATATGGCATCAGACACTTATTAGCTGTGACTGGACAAGTCACTTAACCCTATTTGTCTCAGTTTCCTCATCTGTAAAATGAGCTGGAGAAGGAATTGATGAAGCATTCCAGTATCTTTACCAAGAAAACCCCAAAGGAACATGAAGGACCTGACATGACTAATCGGCTAAACAACAAAAATAACAAGGAAAAAGTAGCAAAACAAAAACAAAAACAAAAACTGAAGTCTATGTTTCAGCCCATAGGCAACAGGGAGTCACTAGAGTATATTGACATTTGGAGTGACAAAGTCAAATTTGTCCTTAAGGAAACCTGCCTTAGCAGATGTGTGGAATATGGATTGAAATGAGCAAAGACTTAAGCAGTGAAACTAATTAGGAAACCATTGCAATAGTTCAGGAGAGAGGTAATGAGAGAATTTGAAGTAAATTGATGTTTTTTTGGAGAAGTCACATGTGAGAGACACTTTGGAGGCAGAGATGACAAGAGTTGGGGGAAAGAGAATGAAGTGTTGAGAATAATACAAAAGTTATGAACCTGTTACACTGTACTCTTGATATGGTGAACTTGATATCTTCAACAGAAATAAAGAAGTTTTATAGAGGTTTGAGTTTAGGAAGAAAATAATAAAATCTGTTTTAGAAATTCTGAGCTTAGGTGCCTTTAGATCATACATTTTGAATTATCTAATAAACAGTTGACATACAACTGGAACTCAGGAGAGAGCTGTTGTGGTCAAAATTTAATGAAAAGGTAAAATGAGGCAAATTCCACTGAGCAAGATAACATTTATTAACAGAATTATACTCCCTGTCTGTTTAATGGATTAACTCAATTTATGTAAAAATTCCCTAGGCAAAGGACAATTCCCTTTGTATAGGTGCTGGGGAGCATAGGAAAAGAACAGACCAAGATAAATGACATCATGGAATGGAAAGCAATATGATTGGCTACATTGCTGAGGTGCAGGAAACAATATGATTGGTTTGGTTGGATGTTTGATAATGGGGGCTCCTGAGAGGCCAGGTATGAGACAGTGGGCCAGACTTTTGGAAAGCAAACCAGACACCTTGAAGGATAACTTGGTGTTGTAAAAATGCTTTAAGTCTTACTTCCTTGTAACCACATGTATCTCCCAATGTCAGCTAAATTCCTTGATGCAAGAATAGATTAGTAATTATCAGGAGAGCTGGATTTTTAAAATCAACCCATCACAGGTCAGTTGAATTCTGAACCAAGGTTAGGTACAGAGAACCACAACTGTAGCAATTACAGGATAAAAGCAACTGTCAGTAGGATCAATAAAAAATGATACCGAATTAATATTGATTATTTCAATCCCACCAATCAATGTTAAACAAGCACATCTCTCACAGATCACTTATCTATAAGCCAATCCTGTAAGATCTTTAACATAATCAACAGTAAGGTGCACCAACACAAGTTTCTCTGGCAGAATTTAAGAACAGGTTTTAACACAGTAACTAATGCAAAGTTGAAAAAAAGAATGAGACTGATAGTACAAGTCACAGTAGGAATATCTAAAACCATAAACTAAGTTAAGAAGGGTGAGTTGCATGTCTCAAGGAAGCTAAGAAAACTCAACAAACATAGGTATAGTGAAGCAAAAGTCAAAGGAATATAATAATATTCAACAACAGTAGTTAATATCAAGTCTCCTACTATCTCAGTAACCTACTCACATCGTCCATTTTATCAGCACATTTCATCTTGAATCTCAGATGTCCCGTGTAGATGTCTGATTGTCTGGAAACATCTCCTGGACATTCTGGAATAAGTTTTGTTCTCATGGTAGCTATGAAGGGGGCTCTTATTCAGTATATTTGCTTTGCTGGTTCCACGTCATTTGCAGATTGTGAGATGTTTCTTCTAAAATCCTTTATGAAACAGACCTCAATACAATTTAGTACACCATCTTAAATATTACTTCTCCAATAATTAGTTAAAACCCTGCTCAGATCTTGTGGTTCTGAGCTTATTAACAATAGAGCTATAAAAAGAACTTTAAATTAGGAATTCATAGTTCACTTGAAATTTCAGGAAAAAAATGAAATTTTAAAAATACCCTTTACAGTTTCTATATTTTCCTAAATCCTATACCTGATATTAACATCACCATCAGTGAGTTGAAAAATCCTAAGAAAGAACTTATTAGGAGCTGACTTGTTAATTGAGCCCTTCTGGTTAATGATTTAATATACCAAAGTAGACATGTAAGCTAGTGTTAAGAGTACTTCGTAAATTAGCATTGAATCCATTATCATCTAGCTCCCTGTAATATAAGCTAACAAGTTGTTACATTGATATATTTAAGAAATTCAAATACCAACTGAAAAATGAAAACTAAATGTTATAGAAGGCAGAATTCTTAAAACCTGTCAAATTTCTGAAAACCTTTTGTATTACATATATAAATGTCTGTTCTTGTTGCTCTCTTTTTTTTTTTACTTCACATTTTTCACTACAATTATGCAGAACTACACTTTAACTATGTAAAACTCCACTTCAATTCTTCCAGCGAATTCTAATCTCTGCCGCCCCTTAGGGGGAATAGAGACTTATAAGGATGTTTTCCTTAAATGAAAATACAGGTAACAACACTTTTTATCAGGGGATGCCTTTTAATTTCCAAATGAATTTACTCCAAAACTGAAATTTAACTTCAATTGTAACAAAAAGTCCTGAGATGGGATGTGGAAATATACTAAGTAATTAATTCCAAATTGCATACCTAGAGCAGTGCATATCAAATGAGTTCTGTAGAGTAAAACATATTGGCACTTCAGCATATTCTTGTTTTTCAAAATGCAGTTATTTATTCCATTTCTGTGATTTCAGATGTTACAGAACATGATGGACAAATAAGGCAAATAAAGCGAACTGTTCCCTTCATCCCAAATAACCTTGTGTAAGTGTCATGGTATTCAAGAAGCTTTGTAAACAACCCTCTTCCATCAACCCACTTTGGATAACATAGACTATCCAGAGTCTATAGCTCAGCTGTGAGAGATGCCTTTTTCATCAGAGAAATTTTTTATAGTCACTATTACCATTCTTGAAAATCAGGAAAATCAGATTTCTGCATATTTTTGTACATTCATTTAGACAAGATTTAGAGGAAACCAGGAGTCACCTTAATTTGTGTGCTTACTACCAAATTTTGGGAGCTCAAAATGGTTTCTTAGAAGCCTTCAAGAACTTCGTGGTTATTTTTTATTCTATCTGGATCCTCTTCTTGGCTGATTGACCCCTCTTTGGCTAGCTCCGCACCTTTAACCATTATTCAGTCTTTATCCAAACAAGATGGTTGCCATTTAAATACTGGAGTCACTCCCTGAACATCAGAGGTGTGCTTCCTGGAAAAAAACAAAAACAAAAACAAAAACAAAAACAAAAACAGAAACAAAAACAAATACTTTACTTTATGTAACTTAGCAGCATGGGTTCAGTATTCAGTATTCAAGAGAACTTAGCCATCCTGACTCAGGAGTATAGGTATCAATAAACCACATTACAAGTGTAGCAGATTGAGTAACATTCTGATCATCTGAAGAATTGTTCTCTTATGCCATGTTTGGTACTACACGATACCACACCATGTAAGTGTCATCCATTACCTGAAAGCAAATAATAAAGGTCTATATATACCCTTTTGTAAAGAAACTTAAGGGAATCCTCCTCTGAAAAGCTTGTGAAATCAGTGGTCATCGTCAGAGACCACAGTCTTTTTAACGTCTTAATTTTTGTATTTGAAAAGGTCATCTTGGAGGATGCTGTCAAAGTCAAGAAGAACTTTCAGACTTCTCTTTGCAAAGGCCCATGAACTCCAGCCCTTCAATATGAATTGCCTTCTTCTTCTTTTTTTTTTTTAATTGAGCACCATTTTATTTTCTTTTTTCTATTTTTAACACTTGTTTTTAAAACTTTGGGTTACAAATTTTCTCCCATCCTCCCTCCCCACCCACCCTCAATGAAAAGGCAAGCATCTTGATACAGGTTATAGATGTGCAGTCATGCAAAACCCTTCCATAGTAGTCCTGTTGTGAAAAACTAAGTATATTTCCCTTCATCTTATCCTACTCCCCATGTATTTTATTCTCTTTTCACCCTGTCCCTCCTCAGAAGTGTTTACTTTTGATTATCCCCTCTCCCAATCTGCCCTCCCCTCTGTCAACCCCCTGCTTTCTTGCCCCCTTCTCCCCTTATTTTTCTGTAGGGTAAGACAGATTTCCACACCCTATTGTGTATGTTATCCCCTCCTAAAGCCAAAACCTATGAGAATAAGATTCACTCATTCCCTCTCACATTCCTCCATTTCCCTCCACTGTAAAAGCCTTTTCTTGTCTGTTTCATGTGAAATATTTTACCCCCTTCTACCTCTCCCTTTCTCCTTCTCCCAGTGTAATCCTCTCTCACCCTTTAACTTTATTTTCCAGATATCACCCCTTCATCTTCAACTCACCTTGTGCCCTCTATCTATCTATCTATACATACATATAATTCTGCCCCCCACTACCCTAATACTGACAAAGGACTCATGAGTTACAAATATCATCTTTTCCTGCAGGAATGTAAACAGTTCAACCTTAATAAGTCTCTTATGATTTCTCTTTCCTTTTTACCTTTTCATGTTTCACTTGAGTCTCCTATTTGAAAGTCAAATTTTCTATTCAGCTCTGGTCTTTTCCACAGGAATGCTTGAAAGTCCCCTATTTCATTGAATGACCATTTTTTACATTGAAGGATTATACTCAGTTTTGCTGATGATTCTAGGTTGTAGTAGGTGATTCTAGGTTGTAGTCCTATCTCTTTTGCCCTCTGGAATATCATACTCCATGCCCTCTGGATCCTTAATGTAGAAGCTTCTAAATCTTGTGTTATCCTGGTTGTGTTTCCACAATGCTTTCTTTCTGGCTACTTGCAATATCTTCTCCTTGACCTGGGAATTCTGGAATTTGGCTACAACATTTCTAGGAGTTTTCCTTTGGGGATCTCTTTCAGGAGGTGATCAATGGATTCTTTCAATTTCTATTTTGCCCTGTGGTTCTAAAATATCAGGGCAGTATTCCTTGATAATTTCTTGAAAGATGATGTCTAGGCTCTTTTTTTGATCATGGCTTTCAGAAAGTCCAATAATTTTTAAATTCTCTCTCCTGGATCTATTTTCCAGGTCAGTTGTTTTTCCAATGAGATATTTCACATTCTCTTCTATTTTTTCATTCCTTTGGATTAGTGTTACAGTGCCTTGATTTCTTAAATTGTCACTAGTTTCCAATTGCTCCATTCTAATTTTTAAGGAAGTATTTTCTTCAGTAAGCTTTTGGACTTCCTTTTCCATATGAACAATTTCACTTTTAAGGGCATTCTTGTCCTCATTGGCTTTTTGGACCTCTTTTGCCAGTTACATTAGGCCATTTTTTAAGGTGTTATTTTCTTCAGTGTTTTTTTGGGTTTCCTTTAGCATCACTCTCAGTTTTTTCTCTACTTCTCTTACTTATTTCTCAAAATCCCTTTTGAGCTCTTCCATGGGCCGGGACCAATTCATATTTTTCTTGGAGGCTTTGGATGTAAGAGCTTTGGCTTTGTTGTCTTCTTCTGGTTGTATGTTCTCATCTTCTTTGTCACCAAAGTAAGATAATATGGTCTGACTCTTTTTGCATTGCTTACTCATGATCCCGGCCAATTACTTGAGTTTTAAACTCTTTGTTAAGGTAAGAGTCTGTTTCCAGTGTGGAGAATGTACTGTCCCAAGCTTCAGGTGTTTTGTGCAGCTGTTTTCAGAGATACTTCTAGGGACCTGTAAATTTTCAGTTCTTCCAAGGTGCTATGATCAAGGGTGAGGTGTTTACTCCTTTCCTGGCCTGTGCTCTGATCTATTAGCACTCTTTTCTCTTTTGGAACTGTGAGGAGGGTTTCCTCTCCACAGCCACTGCAAGCTCTACCACGCCAGTGCCAGCGCTCTTCCTCGCCCCAGGACCACCACCAAGAACTGTGACCCAGATCCAAGCACAGGCAAAGCAAGAGAATCCTGCACCAGCAGAGAGATCTCTGCAATCCCCCTCTGATCAGCCACTCGATTCCCCCTCTTTCTGTGGGCTGGAAGCTCAGGAGGCAGCTGCCCTGTGATACCCTAGGGGAATGGGGCTAGAACCCTACTGTGCTTCTCTTTCAGCACCACAGAAACAGACTTTTCCCACTGACCTCCGAAGTTGTCTTGGCATTCATGGGTTGAGAAGTCTAGATACTGCCACAGCTTCCCACCATTCAGTCCTCTGAGGCCTGCTCCAGGATCGCTGCGGCCTATGTGCCCATGCCAAACTACGCTCCTCTCCCTGCCCAGTGCGATATACCTTTTTGACCAACCATCTAGGCTGTCTTTGACTGGAAATTTGCTTCACTCTGTCTTTTTGTGGGTTCTGCTGCCTTAGAATTTATTTAGAGCCAGTTTTTTATAGGTATTTGGGGGGGTTTGGGGGAGAGCTCAAGCAAGTCCCTGCTTTTACTCTGCCATCTTGGTTCAGCCCCTTCAATTCCCAATCTCCTTCTTCTTAATCACTTTCTGCATGCACAGCTTGTAGCGCTTGAAGAGGTCAGTGCAGGGGTCCTCAGAGTCATCACCCTTGAGGAACTTCTTGGTGAACCAGCGGTTGAAGCATTGGTTGTACTCATGCTTCATGTTGGTGCAGGCCTCTCCCATGCTATTCATGGCAACCAGCCCCTCAGCACATTCTTAATACACAGATATTAATCCTACAATAAATAGCAAACAAGTAAAATTGAATTCCCCTTGGATATAACACAAGATAACCCATCAATCATTCTCCTCAAATATAACTGATTACAGTGAAGTTCTCTTCCTTAAAATGAAACTGAAGGTGTATCTCTTTTAAGATTATTAATGAGTAAACTACCATCTTGGTTCCACAAACCTTTGCATCATTATTTAATTATTTTCTTAACATTTTAAGATATTTCAAGGACCTTATCATATACATGAAAATATATATATATATATAAATAACTTTAAACAGGCAGATGACAAGCTAAAATTCTCTTTAACTTAGTTGTTCCAGATATGGAAATGATTATAATCTCAAAATGAAAACAGTAAGATCTTATATGCTTGCATCCTATAGCAATGCAGAGGTGCTAAAAGTGTTTCAGCAATAAGATTGTTAAATTCAGCAATAAGCAATACAGATTTTTGAGGGGTGGAGCCAAGATGTTGGAGAGAAACCAGGAAGTTCCTAAGTTCCCCCCCCGCCAGATTCCCTTGGAAACAAAATTAAATCACGCCTCTAAACAGATTCTGGAGTGAAAGAAAACAAAAAAGATGGAGTGAAACAGTTATTCAGCTTAAGATCATTTAGAAAAACTTCAGGAAAAGACTGTCTCACTTGGGTCTCACTTGGGTAAAAGGGGAACACAGCCTAGTACAGAGTTGTTTGGATAAGCCAGAAGGGGGCTCTTAGCTGCAGCACAGATCACCAGTCAAGGACTCTAGGCCCTGATTTAGCAGGCCAGCAGTAAGGCCTCCAGCCCCAGCAGAGAAGGCAAATTGTGAGTCCCAGACTGCCAGCAAAACAGGTGAAAGTAGGCTCTCCCACCTCTAGCACAGTGGTCAAGCAACAAGCACCTGAGGCCCTGGCATGGAAAGCAAGTGATGACCACCCAGGCCACTAGCATAAGAAGCTTTTAGAAATGCCCTTTGTGCCCCAGGAACAGAACTCAACTTTAAAAGTCATTAAATAAGCTGAAAAATAAGTAAGAAACAGAAAAGAATGCTAACAATAGAAATCTACTATGGTGACAAAGAAGAGGAAAACACAAATTCAGAAGAGGACAATGTCAAAATGCGTACATGTGAAGCCTAAATGGGTGATATGAAGTGTTCTCAATCCCAAAAACTCCTCTTGGAAGACCACAAAAATGATCTAAAAAATCAAGTAAGAAAAGTAGAAGAAAAATTAAGAAAAGATGTAGAATTTATGTAGGAGAATTATGTAAAAATTATGAAAAAGAGTCAATAGCTTGGAAAAGGAAGCACAAAAATTGACTGAAGAAAATAACTTTTTTTTTTTTTGGTTAGGCAATGTAGTTAAGTGACTTGCCCAGGGTCACTCAGCTAGTAAGTGTTATGTGTCTGAGGCTGGATTTAAACTCAGGTCCTCCTGAATCCAGGGCCGGTGCTCTATCCATTTACCCACCTAGCTGCCCCAAAACAACTTTTTTTTTAAGTGAGGCAATTCTGGTTAAGTGACTTGCCCAAGGTCACACAGCTAGTCTGTGTCAAGTGTTTAGTCTGAGGCCGGATTTGGACTCAGGTCCTCCTGACTTCAGGGCTAGTGCTCTATCCACTGTGCCACCTAACAGAAAATAATTTTTTCAAAATAAAATAGGCCAAATGGAAACAATTCATTTAAAAGTAGAATTGACCAAATGGAAAGAGAGGTACAAAAGCTAACTGAAAAAAATAATTCCATAAAAATTATAATTGGACAAGTGGAAGCTGATGACTCTATGAAACATCAGGAATTGGTCAAACAAAATCAAAAGAACGAAAAATAGAAGAAAATGTAAATCACCTCATTGGAACACAAAACACCTGGAAAATAGATCGAGGAGACAGCATGTTTCAAGAATTTATCAAGAACTACACTGAAATCTTAGAACCAGTGGTAAAATAATCATTGAAAGAATCTACCAATCACCTCCTGAAAGAGATCCTAAAACGACAACTCCAAGGAATATTGTAGCCAAATTCCAGAATTATCAAGTCAAGAAAAAAATACTGCAAGTAGCCAGAGAGAAATGATTCAAATATCATGGAGCCACAGTCAGGCTTATGAAGACTTGGCAGCTTCTACCATAAAGAATTGAAGGGCTTGGAATATGATATTCTGGAAGGCAAAGGAGTTTGGATTACAACCAAAAATCAACTACCCAGCAAAAATGACCATAATCTTTCAGGTGAAAAGATGCACATTGCATGAAATAGGGAACTTTCAGTCTTTCCCAATGATAAGACAAGTGCTAAACAGAAAATTTGATCTCCAAATACAAGGTTCAAGAAAAGCATAAAAAGGTAAACAGGATAGAAAAGAAAAAAAAACAAAAAACATGTTATTCAATAAGATTAAACTGTTTACAACCCCAAATGGGAAAATGGTACTTGTAACTCTTGAGAACAGTATCTCTATTAGTGCAGTTAGAAGGAATATATGTGTACATGAGTGTGTGTGTATATGTATGTATATATATATATATGTTTGTGTGTGTATGTATATATATGTGTGTGTGTGTCTGTGTGTATATAGATATATATAGATATTTAGATATAGATATATAGATAGATATAGACAGAAGGTGTAGGTATAAGTTGGCTTTGAGGTGATTATATAAAAAAATTAAGGGGTGGAAAAAAAGATTGTATTGGGAGAAGAGGAAAAAGAGAAGCAGAATAAGGTAAATTACATGACATAAAGGGGCAAAAAAGACCTATTACAGTAGAGGGAAAGAAGGAAGAGAGGAGTATGTTTGAACCTTAATTTCATCAGAGTTGGCTCAAAGATGAAATAACAAACACAGTCACATGGGTGTAGAAATACATTTTACCCTGTAGGGAAGTAGTAGGGGAAAGGGGAAAGAAAAAGGGGGGGGAGTTGATAGAAGGGAGGGCAGATTGAGGGAGGTGGTGGTCAGAAGCAAAACTCTGATGAGGAGAGAAGGGTGAAAGGAAAGAGAAATGTATAAAGAGAAAGGAGGAAATAGGATGAAGTGAAATACACAGTTACTAATCATAACTATGAATGTAAATGGTATGAATTCTTCCATAAAATGGAAGTAGATTGGATAAAAAAAAACATAATCCTAGAATATGTTGTTTAAAAGAAGAACATCTGAAGCAAAGAGATACACATAGAGCAACAGAAAAAAAGCTGGAGAACCTATTATGGCTTAGCTGAAGTAAAAAACAGCAGTGGCAATCCTAATCTCAGACAAAGCAAAAGCAAAAATATATTTAATTAAAAGACATAAGAAAAAAAACTACATCTTGCTAAGAGATATGGTGGACCATGAAGTAATATCAATACACACCATATATGGACAAAGTGGTAGAGCATCCCAATTCCTCAAGAAGAACTAAAGGGAGTTACAGGAAGAAATAGACAGCAAAACTATATTAGTGGAGGACCTCAACCTACCCCTCTCAGAACTTGATAAATCTAACCTGAAAATAAATTAAAAAATCAGTTAAAGAGTTGAATAGAATTTTAGAAAAGTTAGATATGATAGACCTCTGGAGAAAGTGGAATGGGGATAGAAATGAATATTCATTTGTCTCAGTAGTAAATGGCACCTACACAAAAACTGGCCATGTATTAATGCATAAAAACCACACAACCAAATGCAGAAAGGAAGAAATATTGAATACATCCTTTACACATCACGCTGAAAAAATAAATAAATAAAAGTAAAAAGTGAAAAGTGCCATAGAAAGATATATTTAAAACTCATTGGAAACTAAATAAGCTAATCCTAAAGAATGAGTGGGTCAAACAACAAATCATAGAAATAATCAAAAATTCTATCAAAGAGAATGACAATATTGAGACAACATACTAAAACTTATTGGATACAGTACAAGCAGTTCTTAAGGAAAGTTTTATATTTCTAAATGCATACATGAACTAAATAGAGAAAGAGGAGATCAATGAATTGGGCATGCAAATAAAAAAGCTAAAAAAACCCAACATGTTAAAAATCCTCAATTAAATGCCAAATTAGAAATTCTGAAAATCAAAGCCAAGAGTAATACAATTGAAAGTAAGAAAATTATTGAACTAATAAAACTAAGAGCTGGCTTTTTGAGAAAAAAAATAAAATAAATAAACCTTTGATTAATTTGATTTTTAAAAAAAGAAAGAAAAAAATAAATTATCAGTATCAAAAATTAAGTCAGTTCCCCACCAATGAAAAGGAAATTAAAGCAATAATTATTAGTTATTTTGCCCAACTGTATGCCAATAAATCTGACAATCTAAGTGAAATGGATGAATATATACAAAAATATAAATTGCCCATATTAACAGAAGAGGAAATAAACTACTTAATTAAACTTATTTAAGAAAAAGGAATTGAACAAGCCATCCATAACTCCTTAAGAAAAAATTCTCCAGGGCCAGATGGATTTACAAATGAATTCTACTAAACATTGAAAGAACACTTAATTCCAATACCATATAAACTATTTGGGAAAATGGGCAAAGAAGGAGTTCTACCAAATTTTTATTATGACACAAATATGATGCTGATACCTAAACCCAGAAGAGCCAAAACAAAGAAAATTATAGCCTAAAAACATTGTAAATAAAATATAAGTAATGATATTAAAATAATTTATCATAAGAATAATAAACTGTGACAAGGAAGGATTCATCCGAGGAATGTAGAGCTGGTTCAATATTAGGAAAACTATCAACATAATTGACCATGAAAATAATAAAACTAACAGAAATCATATGATTATCTCAATAGATACCGAAAAGGCTTTTTGGCAAAATATAGCCTCCGTTCCTACTAAAAAACACTAGAGAGCATAGGAATCAATAGAGTTTTCCTTAAAATGAAAACTAGCATCTAGCTAAAACCATCAACAAGCACTAGATGTAACGGGAATAAGCTAGAAGTTTTCCCAATAAGATC